TTGCTTAAGGGTTACTTAAGGTGGAGGTCCAAGGCAAGAAGGGAAAGGTAAATGGGTTATGTATGTTTATAAGGTACTGTGAAGCATATGACTTTGTATTGTTGGTTGTGACTTGTACGGTGCCTATTATGTTGATGTTCATGAGATTTTATCAAAATGGCATGGAAGCATAACTTCCAAACAAATGTCCTTTTTAGCATGTTTTGCATATCCTCATACTTAGTACGTGTGTTGTACTAACCCCTTTCTTCTATTTTACTACAAGTGTAGGTTGTGGTAACTAGGAGGAGATTGTGCCTTGGAGTTGCTTGGATTGCTTCACTCTTCCAAGTCTTTGGTATGTCCTCAAGATTCGAGGACTATGTTTAGAAGTTTCTTAGTCATTGTAATAGACACTTAAGTTTCATTTCATTTGTAAAGGGTCGTGTCCCTTAGTACGTTTTAAGTTCTTGTCTAAAATTGGCTAAAGAGACTTAGTAGCTCCGCTTGCGTATTGATGTTTTCAAATGTTGATGACTCTTGAAGTCTTATGGTTTTATTGAATAAAAGTTTTAAATTCTTAGTGATTTTTATGATTTATGCGATGAATGAATACTAAGGCTTGTATAAGACCTCCAAGAGGTCGAATACGCATGTAACGACTAGGGGGCGGTCTCGGGTCGTTACAGATTTAAGTGAATCCATCTTCTCCTTAAGTGATGGTTGTTGATTAGATGCTTGATGCATCGATCTTCTTGACTTTGTGTGTCTAAAACAAATACATTGGTCCTGATTTTCTTGCGACACAAAGTAGTTTGTCATTAAGCAAAACATCACAAGTTAACATATCCTTTAATTTTGTCATTCAGAGCGATATACCCCCCGTTATGAAAGTGATACATATATACCTCTACTGTTATACAAATGGCTCACATATATCATTTTCCTCTAACGAAAGTGAAAAGATTAATATTAATTTTTTAAAAAAATATATATAATCCCTATGGGGTATATTTGATCCTCCTCACACTTTTTTTTTATTTATATTTTTGTTTCAACTACTAATTTAAATTTATTATTTTGATGGCCAAATTTATTTATCTTTCCCTAATTTCTTGTAAAATTTATTATAGATGCCCAATTTTTTTTTACAAATACAAAAACTAAATTACAATATAACCGAAAAACTAGTTTTAAATTATAATATAGCCATAAAAAAATAATTTTAATTTTTTTCTTTACACTAAATAATGAAAGAAAAAAATAATATAAGAATAAGAAACTCAAATAATGATAATCAAGAAGTAAAAAATTAATTTATGTAAGAAAAGATTAAAATACCCCTACATAATTTTTTTTTTATAAAAAAAAGTAAAAAATATAAATTTAAAACTATTTTTTTTCACTTATATATGTTAGATAAATAAAGGGTATATGTGAGCTCCTTTTGTAACAGTGAGAGCATATGTGAGTCATTTGTATAACGGTAATGGTATATATGAGTCAATTTCATAACAAGGGATATATCAGGTCTTAATTCATTCCACTTGAAATATAGTGTGCAAAAAGTTCTGGATTATTTTTAATACTTTTAATCATGTACAGAGGTAGGGGAAAGAGAAATGGAGAAAGAACGAGAGAATAAGTAGGGATAGCAATAGGATGGGTCAGGACGGGGAGAGGTGGGTAAAGGTTTGCCCTGCCATAGATTCAACACACCCTACCAAGCCCCATTTAATAATTTTTGTTTTCCAACCTGCCCCACCCCGTTTAGCTCCTCTATTTTGCTTCAAGTTCACAACGGTAATATAGAAAATTTTAAAATAATCAAAATGTAACCAATGAAGTTTTTGATTCTTGTTGGATTAAGAGTATTTTCATTATTATTATTTTTGGTTTAGAATCAACTGAAAATGTTTCAGTATTAGAAAAGTTGGTAATACTACCCAAAATAATCAAAACGAGTTGTCGATCGACTAATAGTGAACACATTATACAAATGGGTATAATTAGTAATGATTAAAAAGTCTATCTTAACATAAAAGGAAAATATTAATATATAAAATTTCAACCAAAATTTGGCTTGGCTTGCCCCATTTAGAATTTCAGAGTTGTAGTTCGCCCGCCCTATCCTACCCTACGAATATCCTTGATTTTTCTATAGATTTTGGAAACCTGATTTCAAATCAATGATTGTATATGATATCAACACATTATTCAAATCATGATTTTAAATCCCAAAATTATCCAAAAATTAGGATTTGGAATTCCAAATTGTAACTTTAATTTGTTTTAAAATATAAACTTGACCTATCAGTTTATATTTTAAATAAAACAAGATTCATAATTTTAAATTTTATAAAAAATAATAATCATGCTCGGTGTGAAGAGATTGTTTGTATAATATGAGGATTTTATCAAAGAATAGTTAGTTACTATTTTAAATTTTTTTTTATTCAATCAATAAATATATGTAAAATTATGTAAATATGAAAGTTTGTACGTAAGAACATTTAAACATAAAAATTTATAAGTACAACATATATGGAGATGTGTAATTTTTTTTCATTTAGCGCATTAGGAATCTTCGTACCTTATTTGTGAACTACAATTTGTTCATTGGTTAGATTGTATAAGAATTAGGGATATTTTGAAAGTTTTCAAAAAATTATGGTCTTTTCCATGTATATAAGAAAAAAAAAATACAATTAATGAATTACATATTGCATGTTCAAACAAAATTTCAATAACAAATCATGATTTGAAATCATATCTAAATGGATTCTTAGTTTGACCGGACATGAAATTTCAGAAATTAAAGATTATTTTAAACCTTATGATTGCTAATTAAAGATATGTGTAATGTATCAAAATACCCTCTGATATTCTTGCGGTCTAAAATATGTCATTATGACTCTATTTCTCAGAAGTCATGTAGTATTGTGCAAGAGGATGTATAAACTATCAAAGACTTTATTTAGCAGCGAGATGTAGGTCTAATGTATATGAACTCATCTCCAAGGTCATTTTTCTAATGGAATTAAAAAAAAACAGATATATGGATCGGTTCAGTTAACTTTTATTTAAGGAAGAATTATATCTGATAATATTTCGTTCAGTTATGAATTGGTCCAGGGCTATACAGACAGATAAATATAACCAAGATGGATGATAAAACTGGATCTTCAAAAAATATAGTTGAATGGAACTTCATACAACAGGTGCTATAGGAACAGGCTTTGTGTCACAATCCGAAAATTCAAGTCATGATGAAACCTACCAATACCCACTGGTAGGTAAGCAAACCCTAGGCCGAAACGGCAAGAAACAAGCCCAGCGGTAGAAACCTCAAATCAACGGAATTAACAATATAATAAGGAAAATAAACTGCGGAAGAGAAGCAATTACATAACTAAATACAATAATATATGATCCAATCTCATGACCTGGTGGACAATGGTACAAAGCTACTAAAATGAGTACAAACTCCATAAATAAGCAAAATAAGTACATACTTGTCTTGAATACAAAAGAATAGCCAAAAACTATATGCAAATAAAGATGAGTCAAACTAAAACGCTTTCTATCTTTGAATGTCGCAACAGTTGTACACAAGATCAAAGAGTTTGGCTGGTGCTCAGGTCTGCATTAGGAAAAACAGATGCAGAGTGTATCATGAGTACCAAAATAATAGATATCCAATAGGCATCAAAGGCCAACTAAGATTGGAAATTAAATATAAAATAGAAAGAGGGAAGTAAAATGGTATCAATGAGGTAGGAGAATGGAACAATAGCGATAAGTCTAACCATGAGCCTCAATAATCTAGCAAGAAGCGGGACAATAAAGTAAAGCAACTAACATAACTTAACTAGACCTGCATAAGCTTAGAAGGTACACTCGTGCGAAATTAAATGAAAATAACCCAAACGGGCCTCCATAAGCCCGATTAGTACATAGAAGAGCTAAAGTTATTTCTAATTAAGATTAGATCTATTCTAGAACGGGAAAGTCTGAAACCCAGACTTGAATTGCGAATAAGAGGCCCAAAGAACCCAATAAAAACATGTTGTCAGGATTCAAACCCGACTAATAATCTAAAAGGCTGACACATATGGTCAGCATAACTCTTATTCCTGCTTTGTGCTGATCTAAGCATATCCTGAATCACACGAACTATATTCAAAGCCTCTTGAAGGAAATCAGTACCACGTGGCCTAGGTTCTGAAGCCTTTAATGGGAGAGCGACAACACCTACCAGAGCGACAACACCTACCATATAAGGCCATAAATGGAACAATCTGAATACTCGAATGGTAGATGTTGTTATACGCAAACTCCGCTAAGGCTAAGAACTAGTCCTATTGACTTCCAAAATGCCCAAAACATATCTTCCAAACCTGATTAGTATGCTTCAACTGCCAGTCAGTCTGCAGATGAAAAGTTGTGCTAAGGTCGACTCAGGTACCCAACTCCTCCTAAAAGTTTCTCTAGAAGCTAGAAGTGAACTGAGAAGCCGTGTCATATATAATAGACACATGCATCCCATGGTGACGAACTACCTCTTGAATATACACTAAGCTAACCTCTTAACACTTAAAGAAGACTGAATGATAATGAAATGTGCTGAATTAGTCAATCGATCCACGATTACCCAATACTATCGACACCTCTAGAAGTCTGAGGCAATTCCATAACAAAATCCATAGTGATGCATTACTAATTGAACTTTGAAATGGGTAATCTCTTAAACTCACCACCAAACCTCAAATGCAATATCTCTACTGATACCACTCCAAAAGTCAATTAGATTATTGACATGATATTTCCTCCCCTATCTACTAGTATAATACTCCCTCTGTTTATCTTACTTGTCCATATTTGACTTGACACATCTCTTAAGAAATAATAAATAATAAAATAATTTTAACATATAACCCCTATTGATTATAAGTCATCGAAATATTTAAAGTTCCCAGCAACTACTAAAAACTTCTTTCATGATTTACCATGTGCATGAATTAGTTCATGTAATTATCAATATGCAATTTCATCTATAAAAAGGTATAGCCACACAAAGTGAAATTCACCAAATCAATAAACTTAGAGAGAGCTATCAGAGAGTATTAAAAACTTGAAGTAGTTGAAAAATGGCTGGTGAGAAGGAAACAACTAAAGTGGCAATTGATAAGTATAGGCGGTTCCTGCATGAAGATCATGTTGCTGCTGCAGGAACTATGGGGTGGAGACATGGTAGCCCTCCAATTTATGACAGTGTTAATAATGTCTTTGAACAAGGAAGAACCAAGGTATGTTAAAGTACTCCATCCCTCTTAATTTAAGTGATATGTTTTTCAATTTCGAGAGTCCATTGCAAATTTTCATGTCTTATAGATATTTTGAGTGGTTAGTTATTGTGATATATATGTACTCCCCCTCGGCCCATTTACTTACTGTGTCAAATAATCCTTGCTTATTGATCTTAATTTATTATTATTTTTCTTTCTTCATCACATTATAATCTCTCTCTCTACATTTATATATTGATTAAGGTAAATATGAAAATTAAGATTTAATAATATATTGATTTTTTAAAATGACAAAATTTTGGATCTTCTTACTTTTTATTAGCACAGGAACTAAAATAGATTGGATGGAGTACTATTTTTTACGTAGTTTTTAAAAATATAAATTTTCTTTTAAATGATTTAAAAATTTATATTAGAATTCACGGTTAAAATTAAGAAATTTGGCTTTTAAAATGTGATCAATGTCCCATGATTGAAGTAGTGATATTATCATCTTTCTTGTCAAAATATGATTTGTTCTATTTGGTTTCATGATTAAATCAGGTATGGCCAGAAGGGTCTCTTGAAGAAACAATACAAAATTCTATAAAGACATTTGAAATGGAGCTTAAATACAAGACTTGCATAAAGGACTTTAGGACCATTAACCCTGAAAAATTCAAGCTCTTTGTTAATGGTAAGACTTACAAAAATCAATTGTCGTTTCTTTTGATGTCTAGATTTAAATTATTCAGACCGTTTTTTTTCTTATATGATAGAAAAGTATTTCAAACCTCAGTTCATCAAGTATATTTTGTTTTAGTTAAAAAAAAAACAAAGGACATATAAATAAGGGCAAAATGGGGCAAGAAAATATGGTTTATTGTTGAAAGCATTTTTCTTCCTAATTAATTTCTACTAAATATTTTTTTTTTCATTATTTTATGTCGGCAACAGGAAGAGAGGGACTGTCAGCAGAAGAGACACTAAAAGTGATGAGGTTACAATGCGCTATTGAAGAATTCAAATACCACAAAGAAGACCTTTGAATCGTCTCATACTGCTTTTCGATCAGCTTTTTCAAGAGGATTCGCCTGGGAAGTGATCAAAGTGTATACTGGCCCTCCTGTTGTGACATACAAATGGGGTTTCTTTGAAGGACCATTTAAAGGACATGCCCCTACTGCTGAGATGATACAGTTCTATGGCATTGGCATTATGAAGGTCTAACTCTCTCTCTCTCCCTCCCTCTTATATATACATTTTTCGTTTTAATTTATGTGGCATTTTTTAATTAGGCACAAAATTTAACTAAAACAAGACTTTGAAATTTGTGATTCAATACAAAACATAGGTATATTGTGGCTGCAAATTATGTAATGATGGGTAAAATGACAATCTTAAAGTTATGTTATTTCTAATTTTAGAAAGAAAATGTGACAGAAAAAAACAATATATCATTTCCTATTTTATTTTACTTGCTCGTGTTTACTAGATACTCTCCTTAAAAAAAATATTTATCTGGGGTTTATTTTATAATTAACTTTATTATAGTCCTACTACTTCAAAGGCGTGCCATTAATTTTTAAGGCAACTTCATTTCGCTCAAATTGTTCGCTTAAGTATAGTAATAAAAACGTAGAACGTTCTACATAGTGAGGTTTTAGTTTAGTAATAAAAACGTAGAACGTTTGAATTTGACTCATATCTATGCCAAAGCCTAATATTTAAGTTCTGACAAAAGGTATGGGGTGTGCCCATACTTCTTAGATTCAAATTTGCACACCGAATAACCTTAGAAATGGTTAATCTTTAACATTTGACCCCACTTACTGGGTAAAAACTCAAATGTGATGCCATTATATTGGGACAACACTTTTATGAAATTTGAAGTTTTGTCACTGAGACTAGCGGGATCAAAACTCAAATTTAGTATTATTTTTTTCCTATTTTATTACTTACTCTAGATACTCTCCTTAAAAAATTATTTATCATGGGTTTATTGTATAATTAACTTTATTAATTGTATTACTACTTCAAAGGCGTGCCATTAATTTTTAAGGCAACTTCATTTCGTTCAAATTGTTCACTAAAGTATAGCCCCTCGAGGTTTTAGTTCAGTAATTAAGATGTAGAACATTGTAAATTTGAATCATAACTATGCCAAAACCAAAAATATTTAAGTTCTGGCAAAAGGTAGAGAAATGTGCTCATACTTGTTAGATTTAAATTTACACACCAAATAACCTTAGCTTGGATTGATGTTAAACATTTGACCCCACTTGCCTTTGGATAAACCTTCACGATCAACACTCAAATGTGTTGCCCTTGAGACAAAATATTTATGAAATTTGAAGTTTCGTCCATGCATGAGGCAAGCGGGATCAAAGTCCAAGACCACCTATTTACTAGGTCATTCCTATAAATCACCTCGGCTAGAATCTCATCCAGTCATTGGGAATCGGTCCAACATAAAGAATTAAAGTTGTTCACTTACATTTAACATAAAACTTATGAGTTTAACGAACTAATTGTTTTTGTATATTAGCTAGCAGGTAGATAAATCTCTAAGAGTAGAGGAATTAGAGTTGTACTATGATCCAGCAGAACTTTTTGGTGGACTACTCAAGGGACCAAAAATTTCTGAATCTAACACTGAGCATCAGGGCCAGGATGATAATACCACCACTCAACATTGCCCATTCAACCACAACTAATTATGTCAAATTTCAGTTCTACTTTCGAAATAGTCATGTTTTAATAAAAGTGTATGCAACTCTATTTCCAAATAAATATGTTTTAATAAAGTGTATGCTACTCTATTTCCAAATAGTCATGTCTGAATAAATTTTATGCAACTCTTTATGTTTTTTCAGTCATTAGACTTTCTCTATCTATATTTTTTGATAGGATGATTGTCTTTCGGTCTTCTTGTATACATTTAGATATACCTACTCTTCTCAAGCCATAATGATTATGTAACTATATATGTCGGAAGCTACCTTTTAGCGATGCCACTGCTACCCTCTAACAATGGACCTGACAACCCGTCAGACATGCATGGGACTGTCCATCAAGGTTTCCATAATTGGTGTACTTTTGTCTGACCTTAGCTCGATTTTACTTTCTTTCCCTTGTTGTGTGATTTCATGTCCATCATAGTAGAAAAACCATTAAATGACACTACCTCTTTTGCTTAAGAATTAACATTTATTTATAGTTAAGAGCATCAAATGTATTGTCTAATGTTGTCACATCAACACCCTCAACTTTGAACATTTGATTGTCCTCAAGCAACACCTAACAGTACTGTATTTACATGCCCATGAACTATCAACACTCACAGCAGTTACAAAGCAACACTTCAACAAGGTATGCATATGTCTATTAGTTAACGCATCAACTCAAAAAGAATCTAAGGATGACATCAGAATATCAAGAAGCAACTTGGCATGCACCATAAGCAATTTTCTCAACAATCAGACAACTTAATGCCCTCACCACAAAGAAAACTCTATCGCTCACATATAAATATTTGTATATCAGAGACAATACAAAATACTCACTCTCAGAATGAAATTTAAACCATGCATATATAACCCATAAGTTTGCCCTTATTATTTTCACACTTAACTTTTCAAACAATTAGACTAGCTAGGATCACTATAGGACTTTTTTGACTTATAGCATAGGCTCGGGGTGAAGGGAGGATACATTTCGAGCAATGACTACGCCCTCCTTAACACCCTCTTTACCTTGTTTTCCTTTTCTTTTGTTAGCAGCCTTTTCTCTTCCTTCTAGTCCTTAATTTCTAATATTTTGAATGTGACTCCCCTTCTTCTCTCTCATTTCATTTACTATTCCCCTTTTTTTTCAATTTGAATACAAATACATTCAACCTATCTTAATACACCACATCCACATGTTTTGATTATTGTTTATTTATCTTTTTTATACCCCATTGTTCTTTTACTCTTACTCCACCCTTAATTTAGGCATTTTGCCTAATTTGAGGTACATGATATCTAAGGAGAGACTAGGGCCAAAGTAGTAGTTTCAAAAAAGACGGGAAAGGTAAATAGGTAACAACAAACATGCTTTCATTTAGGCTCAAAATTAGAAATCCAAGGATTATTTCATTCTTTGCTTAGTCTTAAGACTGGGTGGGCTAAATTCAAAAATGTCATATATATATATATGATCCTTTCCTAATCCATTATATTATATTTCAGTCAGTGCAACATATACCAGGCAAGTTCTAGATGCATACACAAGCTAGGAATAATACAAAACGCTTATATCCACATGGAATAGTTTGCACTATCGCTTCTAACGGTCAAATTTTATACACATGGCATAAGGACAATTATTTTATTCATAATCAATAGATGTCACACAGAGATGCTCAACATTTAATATAACCAAAAATACATTTCATTCCATACACAATGTTGAACACTTTCAGTATTAACTGTTGCAAACATTTTTAGTATGTACATACTTCTTTTTATTGACACACACTCAACTAACATAATGTATTTACACAAACCACACTACTAAACATGTCAGTTTTACTATATATCATTTAAGGGAAAATAAACACAACAACAAAAAACCTTAGGTGATGTGACACACACAACCCCTTTTAAAAAGACATGCACTGTCCTCAATGCATAAAAAAAACAATAAAGCTTAGGAGTAGTTTGGAGTCTAGCCTCGTGGTGGGGAATTAGTCGCCCCAATAACATCTGTAGTGGTACTAGTGGTGACCAACATTCTCAATGATGTCTCAGTAGGAACTTTCATAGCTGTTGTGGAATAATAGTGCACTAGAAGAAGCCCAAGATGCACGAGCTCTCAACTCATCCAATCTCAGCTCCTCCTTGAGTTGCGACCTCCGCAAGGCCTCCTCTATTTATTCATGCTCAAGGCGTCTCTCTTTCTACGCCTTCCTTCTCTGTAGGGATCTGACCTTTCTTTCCTCCAATTGTTGCTTGGCCGATGCTTTAGTGAACATACATATATAATAGATTCATAAATGGTTACGTTAGTCCTCCTCCGACCTATAGAATCAGGAACACCTCTCTCTCAACCTATAGAATCAGGAACGTACACCTCTGCCATCCTCTCTCTCAACTAAATGATATTAGCTTGGGCTTGGGAAAGCTCAGCCGCAAACTTTGCCAAATCAACCACAGTACGTCAACTCTCATAGACGGTTATTAACCTGGCTCTCATGTCGTCCATTTGTGCATGTAGATATCTATATGGAATAAATGTCGTTGTGATATCCCTATCAACAAATGGACCAAGCTATTAATTCAGCAAATAACTTCACTCGATCATCCTCTTAACTAGTCTCATAAAGTTTGGCAGTATAAATCCATATTGTGAAGGTTGTGGCAACGATGAAGTAGTATCAGTGTTGTGTCCTCGTAGACTCTATAGATGGTGTCGAAGTTGGTTTCTTTAGGCATCATAGGACGCTCTCCAACCTCATCCCCAACTTAATCTACTGGGTAAATACCTATGGCACCCACATTTCAAGCCTTGACTCATACCGCATCTTTTTAATAACAAAATTTTTAGTAATGCCCTCTAAAATAGGCACCCCTTTTGCATAGACTCGTCACCAACCATATATAGGAATGGTAGTGAAGTAGTCTTCTTCTTCCTCCTAACCCTATGCCTTATTTTCTTAGCAATGAGTCTCCCAAAATCTATAGGGCCGGAGTCCTGACAACAAGCTTTCCACTAATATTGCCTTTTCCTCTCCAAGTGTGTTGTCACCTCTGGTGGGGAACAACCTGAATCTCACAACACAACTTGCAGGAAAAGTCAGTAATGCCTTTTGAATCCGCTCCCTAGCTAGTATTTGCCAACCACAAGGGTTGAGTACCCTTTGTAAGAACCATGGACGTTGTTGAAATCTCACATCTGGTGATCAAACTATGTCATTCGTGGCGGTGGCACATATATAACCTACACCGAACAAGAACCTGTTGATTTTGGTCGAGGAGATATTTGCATGTACTCCCCTAATTTGCACCTCAAGCAACTTTAACATTTCCCCCTTCTCTATTTTAGGTCGTTGGTCCAATATTGTTGCCACATAGTTCGCGTAGAACTCACGGATCGGACCATATATGTTAGTCACTCCTAATAGTACTTTTCGGAGCCCCAACGCAAGACATGATGAAATTTGGATTTGATTATGTCACCCCGATTGATTGGTTCATGTACGTACTGTTATCTCCTGTATTCAGATTAGCAAACCAGAAATAATAAAAGATAAAAAAAAAAAAAACACAAAGAACTATCCGAGTCCACAGAACCTACTGTGTGTCCTTAAGAAATTTAATCTCATCAAGTACCCGAGGTTGCAGATTAATTCCTCCCAAGATAAAACAGATTAACCATTAAAGAAGTAGCGGTACCTCAAACTTCGATAATTTCAACGAACTCAAAATAACAGCAACGAATCACACACACAGACACGATCGATCAATTTTGTTTTGTAAGAAATGTATGCAAAATAAGGGAAGAATTCGATACAGAAAAATGAGAGAAAACCTCTCTATTTATTGCCAACAAAAGGGTAAAGGTCACAACTCTTTGGAAAGAAGACAACCTTTCAGAAAGAAGACAACCTTTTAGAAAGGTCACAACACTTTGGAAAAGGCATAACCTTTCAAACGGTCACAATCCTTTAGAAAGGACACAACATTTCATAAAGTTCACAATCCTTCGGCATAGTCACAACTCTTCAGGAGAGTTACAACCCTTCATTTCCTGTTCACACCTTTAAAACCCAACAATCCCCCACATGAATAGGGAATGACTATTGTTAAAACATATGCATGAAAAACTGTGTGATTCGTAATTAAAGATTGATTGCTTCTAGATAAGTGGGTTTCCCTTTGAACTTTCTGTAGTGAACATATATCGGATATACTCAGTCAATCGGTAAATTTGATATCTTTGAACCGTTGAGTTTTGGTATATACCTAAACAACATAAGTCACACAATCAACCCTTGAATTGTTTTTGGTTCTTATTGTTTTGTTTGTTTCAGCCATGAACACGTCTCGGTTTATAAGTGCATAGAGAACTGGCCTTACCGGATTCTCCTTGAAGCGGCTTACACTTCACACTTACATAGGTGATTTCTAAATGTGTTATGTCGTAGATAGACCATTTGATATACCCTGTATCAAACTTAGAAATCATTAAAAAGTCCTAATGTCTTTATCCTTGTTACTGAACATTGTCTTATCATGAGAATGGACCATCAAAAATATTTTGACAATGTTGAACCGTCATCAATGACTTTGTTTAATCTCCTTGAACCTAGATCTTGGGATCTCCAGTCTTCTAGGTAGAGTTACCGCCACAATGACTTGTTCTCAGCTATAGTACCATTCCCTTTGATAATCTATCAACTCCCTCTCTAGTTAGGCCTTTTATAAGTGGATCCGACACATTTTCCTTTGACTTTACATAGTCAATTATGATAATTCCACTAGAGAGTAGTTCTCTAACGATATTATCTCTACGTCATATATGACGAGACTTTCCGTTATACATCATGCTCCATGCCCTACCTATTGCAAATTAACTCTCACTGTGTATGCATACTGGAGCTAAAAGGTTTGGGCCTAAAATCTTTCAAGAAATTTTGGAGTCATTCAACTTCTTTACCGGCCTTATCTAGAGT